ATTCTAATACTTTGCTCTTGATTAATTGTATTTTTAGCCAAGTTTGCATACACTCAGTCAGGTTTTTAAGTCTGTGTTTTTATGTGTCAGAAGCTGAACTGTTTGGGAACACAGCTGTCATACTTTAAGGACTAGTCCTCCTGATTTCCTAAAAGTCACGAACCAGGCGCTCGGTGACCATTCTCGATGAGAATCTGTGTCTGAGGAGCTCTTGAGGATGTTTGTCTTCTCAGATGTTGCTCTATGGTTCGGCTTGTCTCCTGGTAACTCCCTCGGTCCCCTCGCTCATCCCTGCATCAGGCTGTACTAAGCCTGAAAATGAGAGGTTAGAATTCCCAGCGCGCGATAAAGAAGGTGCTTGCCTGCAACTCATATCTGATTCATTAACATTCATTTGGTCTTATATAATTTCTGGGCATAAGATTAACTTCTCAGGAGAAGTGGGCCAGATCAGACAGCTGGTTCCCGTCTTCTCCAGCGGGTCCCAGCGGACCTGCTGCAACACCACAGAAATGAGCTCTCCTCCTCGCTACGTGCCTCCACATTAGCCAAGTATAAATCTACTGTATTTTACAAAGCAGTAAAAAGAAACCAAATTGGGTTATATTACATAAAACCAATGTCTTGTGAGGTTTTTATATTGCATTAATGATGCGTAGTGGAGGAATTAATAGAACTTTATTGCATATATATACACATATGCCCAAAGCCTGTTAGTTCCTCCTTCTAATGGTTTCTCCTGTGTTATAAAGATGGTTTCATGTCTGACATTATGTTCATGTCTGTTCTTTCTCCGCTCAGCTGGATGACCCGTCCGTATTTCCAGCTGTGATTGTGGAGCAGGTGCCCACAACGGATCTGTTGCAGGTCTACTCGGGCCTCGAGTCCGATGAGGTGACGAACGGTATCATGGTGGACACGACTCTTCACGTGGTGGAGGAACCATCCATGCTGCCAGGAGGAGTGGACCTCACCGGTAAAAGAATGCCACAATAATTTAAAATGTTTTTACAAAGCTGAATAAAATACTGTTTATTTTTTAGACCACTTCAGTCACAAAAGCTGAAGAACATTGTTTTAGATTCTCTGAAATGGCTGAAAATGAAACTGTGCAGAATTGCATCAACACGAGTGAAAGTGACCACTGTCATATTTTTCATCCCAATACAATTTAAAAACTAGAGAAATCGCATTTCCCGTGAAAATGCAGTGTGAATGCTTACCGCTGAAGAACTTGCTGAAAAACAGCTGAAATTAGCTAAAAACATGCTGAATTGTAGCTGGAATGAAAGAACAAGCCTAAATTAGCAGAAGAAAGCGGAAAAAAACACATTTTGCTGTATTAGGTATAAATTAGCAGAAATTACCACAAGATATAGCAAATTAGCTAAAAAAAAACCCCACTGAATTTGGCACCCAAAAAAAATAGCTGAAAAGTAGCTGAAAGGGCAGAGAGAAGCTTAAACTACCAGAAGGAAGCGGAAAGAGCTGAAATGAGCTAAAAAAATGTGGAGTTAGCTGAAAAGGAAAACAAATTAGCATTAAAACAGCTAAATAGTAGCTGAAATAGCAGAAACAAAAGAAAATAGCAGAACATTTTTTAAAGGAGCATAATAAGCTGAAATTAGCAGGAAGAAGTTAATTAGGTTGAAAGTGGCAACATTTTCCATGAAAAACTTGACTTTATCTGAAAACAACTGAAATTAGCTAAAAATGCTAAAAAGGTAGATGAAAAGGTAGAAAAAGCTTAAATTAGCCGAAGAAAGCAGAAATAACGTTTGGCTACTTCGGCTGAAAGAAGCAGAAATTAGCTCAACAAAGTAAAAATTGTCTGTGTAGTAGTCACGTAGGTACGTGCCACTAGTTGTAGTATGACAATATATGAGATATATATGCATACTTTTTCACGAGTTCCTCATCTTTCTGACTGTGTAATGTCGTGCATTGAATTTAACAGAAATGTAACGAGAGACGTTATTATCTTTGACCCATCAAATCAATGCGGTCATTTATTTTCAGAATCAAAGTTTAACATCAAACATTTACATTAATTTGGCAAAATATGAAAATAATAACAGACAAGTTTCACAGAAAATGAGCATCGATCACTCGGCGGTGAACGAGGACTTTGCTTCAGATATTTCTAAAATATCTGTACTGATTTTATGAGAGAGAGAAGAGTTTTAAGATGAAATGGAGATTTATCTTACAGAGAAATATGTGAGGGAATTAATCTGTTTAACCAGAAATTGCACGCTCCATCAGATATCAGCTTGCCCACGGTACACTTGGTCGGAGAGGAGACTGTTACCTGGTTGACGTAAATCAGCTCGATAGAGAATCCTCCAGACTTTTTTCAGCGTCTCCGTTGAGAGCAGCTGAAATCCTTAGATAGTCGTGTGTGGTTTTCAAACAGAAATTATAATCCCAAAACGTCTCTGGATCATCTTGAATGCGTTTGCACCCAAGAATTCTGAACTCCTTTCATTCTTCAGAACTTCTCAGACTCTAACAGAATCTTTCAACTCCAGCAACTCTCTAGTTCTTCATCTCCTCAGCCTCTGGAATTATTTTCCATTCTAATTCTCCTGAATTCTAACATGAACTGGGAAGTTGCCACATTTTAAATGGGTCGACTTCCGGTTCATTTGAGAGCTTTCTGATTCGTGGATGTACCAGAAAGAGGTGTGTTTTTGTGATGTAAGATGTTATCTAAGCCAAGGTCAGAGAATGAGATTGTTCAACAACTGACAGAGAGATTATTGCAGAAAAGCAGACTTCGTGGAGTCTCACACTTGGTAATCTTCTGAAAAAGTTTAAACATGACATCTTTCTCGGTAAACATTTTAGTTGACCGAAAACCGACCTTTCACATACTTACAAAACTTAGCTCATTTCAGACAGAAAATCAAGAAATGCATATTAACCTGATTTCTTCTTTGAATGAGGAATAAAAATCATTACTTACTGTTTATGTAAAATAAAAATGAGTAGTTCTTTTCAACCTGTAACATTGAGTGGAACTAACACAATTTGATTATTAAACATTTGTAATACAGTAATGATTATAGAGAATTGTCTTTTCTGCTTGATTAATTCAAGAAAGAAAGTCATCAGATGGCTCAGACTGTATTCAGATCAATGAAATAACAGTCCCTGTCCATCTGATAGATTTGAGGTCATCAGGGTCAGATCAGGGTCAGATCAGGTTCACTACATCTGAAAAAACTGAAATTAGTGCAAAAAACAAACAAACAAAAAAAAAAACCCTGAAAGGCAGCTAAAATTGTAGAAAGAAGTTTAGGTTACCAGAAGGAAGTGGAGAGAGTACTTTTTTTGCTGAATTAAGCTGAAAAATGTTGAAAAGAGTGTAAAAATTGGGGAATTATCTAAAAAACCTAAAATTAGCATAAAACAGCTAAATAGTAGCTGAAACAGCAGAAAAAGCTAGAACTTGCAGAAATAAGCTGAAAGGAGCATAACAAGCTGAAATTAGAAGAAGCACAAAAATTTTGTAGTTAGCAGAACAAATCTGAAAGGATTCAAAAAGCGTTCAATACAAAAACAACTGGACTTTATTTGTAACAGAAGACGTTAAAACAAATAAAAACAAATAAACAAAACAAAATAAAGTCCATTTGTTTTTGTATTGAACACTTTTTGAATTCATCATGTCCTGGATGACTGAGAATCTTCACCAGCAAATCTGAAAGGAGCACAAAACAGCTGAAAAAGCAGCTGAAATGAGCTAAAAGTAGCTGAAATAAGTTTTTTAAATTTGCACAAGGGAGTTGAAAGGAGATGAACCAGAACAAAATGTAAAAGGTAAACAGATCTAAAGATTTAAAGGATGAAAAATTAGCTCAATTCATTTTCTATAACGAAATAGCAGAAAAGGCTAAATATTTCAAAAAGCTAAAGATCCACCAATACCAAAAGTCATAGATGGATTGTCCTGAAAGTCCTCCCCCGAGGATTGTCCTCGGGCGCCATCTTGAAACTTCAAGATGGCGCCCGAGCTGGTGGCTTGCCGTTCACCTCTCTCCACTCTGTTTGTTTTTTTGCTATTTTTATCATTCTTCCTCAATAACATCAACTCACTGCTGGTGTATGATCGTGAGCAACTTCTAAATCTACAATTTTCCACAAAACATCTCGCCTCGTACGATCATTTCTACCGAGGGTCTGGGCCCCCACCTCCACTGCTCGGGAGCGTCCCTGCTTACCTTCGCCGTGATGTTTTCCTGCCTGCACGGAAACATCGCTCCCGCCGCCGCGGGAGACGTGCTGGCCGCCTCGTGAGGCTCAAAGCGAGCCTCGCTCGCTCCTCAGCAACAGCTGACCACCGGACTGAGGATCTTCCACCTGGATGTCTCGCGGAGTCCTGCCCGCTGAAGAACGTGGGGTCGGAGGTGCGCAGCGGGCGCGCGCTCAGCTGCGAAGTTTCCGACAGTCTCCAGCTGATCGAGGTCTGCCTGGGTTCTTCATCTGCACCATCTCCTGCCACTCGATCGGTCTGTCCCAACGACCCTGCTGTGTCCGGCGGCTCTCGGACTCCGGCTGTTTGTCCCGGACCGCGCAGCGGGCGCGCGCCCAGCTGCGGTGGGTCCGAAAGTCTCCAGCTGATCGGGGCCTGCCCTGGTCCATCGGCTGCACCATCTACTGCTGTCCCGTCGGAGTGTACCAACGACCCTGCTGTGTCCGGCGGCTCTCGGATTCAGGCTCTTCATTCTGGACTTCGCGGCGGACGCGCGCGAAGCTGCGCTTCCTCTGGCCGGAGGAGGCGAAGGCCCGACGTAAACAACCTGAGGCCGCTGATCAGCGTCCTCCCCTCAACTTTTCCCCCAGCTGCTGGCCTAACAAGGTTTGCTCTCCTCAATGTGAGATCTTTATCAACCAAAACTTTTATAATAAATGACTTCTTCTGCTCCAATAACCTGGACTTCTTGTTTCTGACGGAGACCTGGCTTCCTCCTGGTGAGTCAAGCGTTTTTACTGAACTTGTGCCTGCAGACTGTACTTTTCTTAACTGCCCGAGGCCATCTGGAAGAGGTGGAGGAGTTTTAGCTCTTTTTAAGAAAATTTGGAAATGCAGACTGCTTCTGACAGCAGCTTTTGAGACCTTTGAGCTGCTGCATTTTGAACTGGGCCGCTCCAAACCCATCCTGGTTGCTGCTCTTTACAGACCCCCCAAATCATCAACAGGCTTCATCAATGAACTGTCTGACTTTCTCACTGGAATACTCTTAAAATACGACCGTGTGCTGATTCTAGGGGACTTCAATATACACGTCTGTTGCCCTGAGAAGCCTTTGGTGCAGGACTTTCTAAATCTGATCCACTCTCTAAACCTGGTGCAAAATGTTGTTGGCCCCACGCATCAGCAGGGGCACACTCTCGATATTGTTTTGTCTTATGGTGTATCTGTGTTAAATCTGGAAATTGGGGATGCTATCATATCCGATCACAAACCCATCTCATTTGAAATCTCTCTTGCTCGTGAGTCTAAATCCCCCACTCCACCTAGGACCTGTCGTGTATTCAACCCTTCAACCTCTGCTCGTTTTTCCTCTGCTTTTATCACCACTGCTGTTTCAACTCCTGATACCTCTGCCTGTGTCAGTACTCATGAGCTGCTTAGTCACCACAATGAGACCTGCACCAAGATCTTGGATCTGGTGGCCCCACTGAAAGTCAGGAAAGCAAGGAGAACCCAGTACCCGTGGATAAACGAGACCACCAGGGCAGCGAGACGACTGTGCAGGAGAGCAGAGCGCAAATGGAAAAAGGACCAACTCCAGGTTTCTTTCATTTTGCTAAAAACCTGTTTAAAAAATTACCAAAACACCGTCAAATCAGAAAAAAACAAATACTTCTCCCAACTGATCAGTGAAAATAAAAACAACCCCCGCACCCTTTTCACAGCAGTAAATTCCATTCTTAATGGCCCTTTGTCTGAATGCATGGACGCCTCTGTGGACGTCTGTAACGACTTCACAAGATTCTTTGTTGGTAAGGTAGAGCTGATCAGATCTTCCATCCCCCGCTCCTCAGTTGACCCATCGGTTTTTGTCCCATGTTCAGCCACTTTCAGGAATTTCAATCCAATCACACTCCCATTGTTAAACAAAGTTGTTGGTCACATGAAACCCTCAGGCTCCCCTGCTGATCCAATCTCTCCCTCACTGTTCAAACAGGTTCTACCAGCGATTGGGCCCGCTGTTCTTAATATTCTTAACAGTAGCTTTGCTACAAGCGTGGTTCCACAGGCCTTTAAAAATGCAGTAGTCACTCCTTTAATCAAGAAACCTGGACTTGACCCCTCAGTGCACTCAAATTACAGACCAATCTCAAAGCTTCCCTTCCTGTCCAAAATCCTAGAAAAAATAGTCTTTACTCAGTTGAATCAATTTTTAACTGAGAACAAAATCTTTGAGGTCTTTCAGTCTGGTTTTAAGCAACTCCACAGCACAGAAACAGCTTTGGTTAGGGTTTGCAATGACATTTTAACTTCAAACGATTCTGGTCACTATGTGGTACTTGTACTCCTTGATCTTACTGCTGCTTTTGACACCGTCGACCACAGTATCCTCATCTCACGGCTCGAACACTGGGTTGGGATTACAGGAGCTGCTTTAGACTGGTTCCGTTCTTACCTCTCTGACAGGACTTTTTGTGTCAAGGTTGGTGAAAGTCTGTCCACTTCGGTCCCTCTTTCCTGCGGGGTCCCACAGGGCTCGATCCTTGGACCCCTTCTCTTCTCGCTCTATCTGCTCCCACTGGGATCCATCTTAAGAAAACATGCCATCTCATTCCATTGTTATGCCGATGACTGCCAGATCTACCTGCCACTGAAACCAGCCAGTGCTCGTTCCATCCACCCTCTCCTCAAATGTCTAGATGACATTAAGGCATGGATGACTTCAAATTTTCTCAGTTTTAACGACCAGAAAACTGAAGTCATCGTCTTTAGTCCTAGCTCAGCTGCCTCCTCAGATCCTGCAAACCTGGACTCACTTCAGCCCTATCTCAAGCACAATGTTAGAAATCTCGGGGTGGTCTTTGACTCGGATTTCAAGTTTGACAAACAGATCAGTTCAGTTCTGCAGAAAAGTTTTTTCCAACTGCGGCAGGTAGCTAAGCTCAAGCCAGTGTTATCCAGACCCAACCTTGAAACATTAGTCCATGCCTTCATCACAACCCGCCTGGACTATTGTAACTCACTTTATGCTGGGGTCAGTCAGGCATCCATTTCACGTCTCCAGCTCGTCCAAAATGCAGCTGCTCGGCTTTTAACTGGTACACGTAGGTCTGAGCACATCACACCTGTTCTGTCCTCCCTTCACTGGCTTCCTGTGCGATCCAGAATCGACTTCAAGATTCTCCTCCTGACATATAAGTGCCTAAATGGCCTCGCACCCCTCTACCTCTCCGAGCTCCTGGAACCATATGTTCCGTCTCGGGCCCTGAGATCATCGGACCAGCTTCTTTTGGTCGTTCCAAAATCACGCCTGAAGCTCCGAGGGGATCGAGCTTTTTCAGTCAGAGGTCCCAACCTGTGGAACAACTTGCCCCTCAACATCAGGCAGGCCTCCTCCCTCCTGATGTTCAAATCCCTCCTTAAAACGCACCTGTTTGCTCTGGCGTTTAATACTGTGTGAGTTAGTTTATTTTGTTCTGTGTTACCTCATTTTAAATTCTGTTGTTTTATGATTGACGTTTATTTTTACTGCTTGTTTTTCCTTAGTGTGATCATTAGTGTGTGTTATTGCTCCAGTAATTTTAATTCTGTATGATGTTTTTGTTTTGCTGCCTATGTTTTGCTACATTTCTGTTAAGCACTTTGATAACAGTTTATCTGTTTTAAATTGTGCTCTACAAATAAAGATGACTTGACTTGACTTGACTTGAAAGAGCTAAATGTTTTGATATATGATTTGCTGAAATAGCTTTTAAACTACGGGATGAGAATTGTGCTGAAAAACAGTTTGAAGAAAACTGCATCACAATAGTGTGAATGCTTCATAAACATTCACACAATGAGACTTTCTGGCTAAATGCAATAATCTGTGTATTCATATACAGACTATTTATTTGAACATTTCTTTTGATTGCTGTTTTTTTGGACAGAAACAACAGTTCCGGGTGCAGAAGGCAATATAGAGACAAATGAAGCTGCAGCTGCTCTGCTAAACATGGAGTCTCCCAACAATATTTTGGATGAGAAGCGTATGAGTGAGTTTGTTCATATTTCATCATAAACTTTTTTTTTTAATGTAATCTAGCTCGAGTGTCACACAGACTAATGGTTTGTTACGTTTCTTTATCTGTTCCGTAGTCCACACCTTCAACCCTCTGCTGGAGTCAGACATGACCTACGCACCACTGAGGCCTGACCAAATGGACACGGTTGCCCTTGATGTGTCCCTAGACGAGGACACGTCCTCCATGGATGAGATTCCTCAAAGGTGTCCTTTAAAACCTCAGAAAAAAACCAAAGGTACCGCAAATTTTAGACATTATCTGTCACTAAAAATTCAACGCAATATATGATCAGATAGTAATAATAGATGATTTCATATTAACTTGTAAATTGAATTACAGTGCGAAAGCCCCGGGCGGTGCGTTCCTGCTCTCCTATCAGCACCCCTAACCTGCCTCTCAGGAAGAAGAGCAAAGAGGGCAAAGGTACGGTTCCATAACTAGTCCTCTTTTCTGTAATGAGTCACTGGAAAAAAACAAAACAACAACTACTCCTTTTGTGTACACCAATGGGCAGATGGCAATCTTGTGCCCCTTCAGTCCAGCCGGGGTAAATCCGAGCCAGTTAATGGATGAGGGGATCTCAGGTTGTTGTGTTTCTCTGGGAACCAGGAATGATTGCAGGCTGGAGGGCACGCCGATGCTCTACTGATAGAAGCAGGGTAGGGCTGCTTTGTGCGGACCCTCGCTGCACACAAAAGAGTGAGGGGGCTTGGGACGGCAGGTTCAGTTGCATCCGTATACATCACCCTGTCAAGGCATCTGGCATTCCAGTGACATCTGGGAGTGTTGCTGTTTTTAACCACTTCTGGTCAAAGTGTCCAACTAATTAGACTCATCTGCCACCAGTCTTGGTATAATTAATTTTCTTTCCAAGCCACATATGCACATACACAAATGACACAACAATCACTGCAGAAAATATATATTTTTCCTGTAACTCCATGACTTGCATAAACAAAATAAGTGGCTAAATGAATTCTAGATGTCCGGAGCACAGATTTGAAGCCTTGTTTTGAATCTTTGACGTACCTAAATGTTAATGCCGTGACTCAGACTGCCCCTGCTTCTAATTTGCAGGCAACACCATCTACCTGTGGGAATTCCTTTTGGCTTTGCTGCAAGATAAAAACACCTGTCCCAAATACATCAAATGGACGCAGCGCGAAAAAGGCATCTTTAAGCTGGTGGACTCCAAGGCTGTTTCAAAGCTTTGGGGCAAACACAAGAACAAGCCTGACATGAACTATGAGACCATGGGGAGGGCTCTCAGGTAGGAGCAGCATACCAATGAGAACGACATTTTCCAAAGTGACATTATCATGCACATGAGCTCTCATTTAGCTCTTAACCTTGAAGACACCCATCCACAGATATGTCCGTATTAACACATTGGAAGGACGGTTTAAAATTTTATGAAGCTTGTAAAACTTTAATCACAGTAACATCAATAATGTGTTGAACAGACTCTTATCCATTTTCTCCCTCAGGTACTACTATCAGAGAGGTATCCTGGCTAAAGTGGAGGGGCAGCGGCTGGTCTATCAGTTTAAGGAGATGCCATCCGATCTGGTGGTGATTGACGACGAAGACGCAGGTTCTGACGCCTGCGAGAACCAGAGATCTTCCAACGGGAGGTCTGTGGCTCGTGGAGGGTCGAAAGGCCACGGAAGGGCTCATGGTGGACACCAAGTCTCAGTGAAGCACATGAAGAAAGAGCCCATCGATGAAAGGCTGTACCAGGACGTTGACTGTGGACAGGCTGAGCAGCTCCTCCATTCTGTTCATGTTTTACATGAAAATCATTTATCGTGTGTTCAAGATGCAGCACAAGCTATGAGGTAGGAGAATCACAAGAGAAACACTTCATTTTTTTATAAACGTTCATACAGAGCGAAGCTATCAGCTTAATAAAGGCTACCTACCGTTTTTATTAAAGGAAGACAAAAATTACCGTATTTTTCGTAGTATAAGTCACACCTTTTTTGCATAAATTTGCAAGTACTGCAACTTATACACTGAAGCAACTAGGGCTTTAACAGACTACTCTAGTAATCTACACATCGATTCCTAGGACATCTATCGAGTTTTTAAATTTCACGTTGAGTATTCTTAGTGACGCAATTACGTCGCTATTGCGTCGTTGCGTCACGTGTCACGTGATTGGCACCAGGCGTGGGCTACGAAATGGATTCCTCCAAGCAGACGGATGGCGCAAAGCATACCCAGTCTTGGCAAACAGGTAGAAATGCATCAATAGTCTGGAAATATTTCACTAAAGATGAATCCGGTTCATCTACCATAAGGAAACAGAAAATGAATCAACTTCCTGACTGTTTGGAGCTCGTTGAGAACCGGTGTTACACCACATTCTGTGACCACCGCATATTGTGACCGTAGGGGGCGGTGTTGCATGCACTGTTGCAGGTCACAGAATATGGTGTAACACCGGGTCCAATCGACTGAACCAGAACCAGCTTCCTCTGACCTTGTTTCACAAACAAAAAGCAAAAAAATATTAATCTCTAAACCTATAAAAAAACCCTATAAACATATTAATCACTAAAATTAAACCTAATGCGCACCACTGCAGGCGGTGGTGCGGGGTGGTCGACCGCCCCACTGTTTTAATTTCGTTTTTTATGTGCCGCACGTTTCTTTCACTTTTGCAGCTTAATAATAATAACTAATAGTTTTGGTTTTCCTGTGACTTATTTGCAGTATGATAAATGGTAGGAGCATAATATACGCTCCCTATGTTTTTAGTTGGTCTTTTTTTTTTTTTTGTAAATAATGAACTTTTTTTACGGTTTTATTTATTTATTTATTTTTGCATCTTGAGATCCTATGACGTCATCAACTACTCGAGTTCTACTCTAGTTTTATTATGTTAATGTTGAGTTTAAAAATGATGTAGTCGTTCAACCCCTAGAAGCAACTAATATGTTTTTTTTCCCATATTTATAAACCAATTTTTGGCTGAGATATGACAATTCCATTCATTCTGACATGGAACATATTGAACATTACCATTTTCATCCACTAGAGGGCCCTCGATTAATATAGCAAGCCAAGTGTCTCATTAATATGTAAAAGTGGCTAGTAATGAGACACTTGGCTATTTGCTCCCACATCACAAATAGTTGTGGCACATAGCTTTCTATAAACTCATAATTTTAGCTTCAAGTTACTGTGTGGGTTTAATAATAACATGTTTATTAAAACAGTTTTTTTTTTTTTTTTTCATTTAGGAAAATGAAGGAAAATGTTAAAGTGAGAGTTCAGATTTTTTGAAGCAGGATTGTCTGTAATATCATACCTGTTGCAGATAGATGAAATAAACTGCCTGATTTTGAAGAAACATATGTTTAGACTAAATTGACACGCTAAAAGCTAGGTTGAATGGCATTACACAAATACTCCAGCTGAAATTGTGATATTCCTGCCAGAAATTTCCCATTCTGCATCAGATGTGTTACAACTAGCTGTGTGTATGTGTCATGCAAAACTGATGAAAAGGTTATAAAATGTTTGGGATTAGATTTGTTTTAAGGTAGCAGAAATCCCCTTTGCTCAGACTAGCCATTAGCTTGTCAGTTTGATCGGAATTAAACTATTTTCCCAAACTGAGATGTTCAACAGGTAATTTTTCTACAGAAACCCCTTTTAAAAGCTCTGTACTGTCACTTTAAGCTAAAATGCCAAGATTTAACGTCTATCACATAGACATAAGTGGTATAGATCTAATTACCTACTTAAGTATTAGGATTTATCTAAATTTGACTATCCATACCACATATTTAGCCCCCCTATATAAGCTTCTGATGTTTTTATTTATTAAAAATGAGAAAAATGACACTATGAACTTAAGCATCAGACAAAACCTTAACATCAAATGTTAATTAATCCTAGGGTTAAAAAAGAAACGTACGTACGGCTCAAACACACATGCACTTTAATGTTGTTGTCCATTTTTTTTCCCAACAAAACATGAAAAAAGTAATATTTTCAACAACCCAGTGGTTTAAAGATTTAGATTAATGGTATTATAAAACAATAATGTCATGAGGTGAACACAAAAATAACAAACTCTATATTCAGCGTTAATAACACCTTTGTATGTTTATAATATTTTGCAGCTTTTTTTTTTTTTTTGTAGACCGCAGTATTCGTTTTTTATTGTGTTAGTGTTGAGTCCACTGCCTGTTTTATGAATGTATTATTATCACTCCTGTGATTATTTTCTGAGCTGTTAAACATCGTCTACTGTTAGAAACCGAATAGAAAACCAAATTTAGCTGCCGAGGTATATGCGATGTTTGTAATAATAATCAGGGTATTACCTCTGCTGTTTACCATTGCAGTGGTATTCCAGTTTACTTGCTCTGTAGGTTTTGATTGAAAAATGATCCTTGTCTGTATTATGAAATATACAGACAAAATTACACTTCCATCCTCTCTGTAGAGCGCACATTCAGTGTTCTTTGTGTCTCTTTAGGACTATCGGCACGCCTGTATCGGTACCTATGGTGCTGACATCCACTGGCTCTCTGCAGTCTGTTCCCCTCACAACTGTTCTGGCTAACGGGGACTCCAGCCACTCCTCCCCTCCTCGGGTTATCCTCCACACCATCCCCTCCGCAGGTGGTAAAGATGTGCTAACCATTCAGACGGCCTCTTTAGCAGGTGGAGCCGGCAGCCTGCAGGACGGCCTCCCGCAGCAGCTTCTGGTCACCAGTCTGGGCTCCTGCGCCATCTCCTCCTCTGCAACCTCCTGTACTTCCCCTCCAGGAGTCATTAGTTCCGCCACCTCCAGCCTCAACGGCCTCCCCCGTCTCGTCACCATCAACACAACCAACGGGCAGACCATGGTGGCGCAGCAGCCTGGCACTGTAATTGCCACCGTGCTGAAATCCAGCGACCTCTCTGGGCTGCATGTGAAAGAGGAGATGCTGGACACCAGCTACTTTCAGTCGATAGTGAACGGCGATCCGTCGCTGGCAGCGCACATGTTCGACAAGGAAGAGATGGAGGTGGGAGAGGCAGAGCTGCAATACAGGACTGTGATCATTGATACCAGTCAAAGCCATGGCCAAGGGTCTGCACAGGAAACTATAATAAATGGACATTACTCCCAGAGCAGCAGCCCCGGTGAGGGGCTGACCCCCGTAGAGGAGCTGGAGGTGCGTGGGGAGATGTCCCTGCAGCCAGAGCAGGGAATCAAAGGCCTGCAGGAGCTGCCGCTGTCTGTTCAATTGCCTGCAAACTTTATCCAGATTAAACCTGAACCTGCAGAAGCTTAGAGCTACAGGACTCTTCCACATAAGCTGAACCAAAAAAAACAAGAAAACAGCTGAAATTATGGTAAAAACTTTTGCCTTCTACCGCAAAGGTCTGATCAAGCATCAGAAGTGAGGGATGTTGCTCTTAAAGTTGGGCAGTTCAGCTTCAGGATTTATTGTTTTTTGACATGTTTTGTGACCACGTGCCTAATTTCAAAAATCTAGAGAGTACTGTTTTTTTTTTTTTTAAGATTTGGACACGAGTCCCAACACAAGGACAAAATGCTTTCTCTTTATAGGAGAACAGCTGTTGGATAAACCTGGAAATTCTGTCTACCAAATGTGCCAGTTAATTATTTTTTACTTTACATCTCATATGTTGGACTCGTTAAACGTTAACGGAGAGCACCACAAACCAAAAAGCGAGGCCTGAATGCCAAACGGTTCTGATGTCTGAACGTGTATGCAGTGTGCAAGTTTCTGAGGGTTGGATCTGTGTCAGGACCGTGTCCAGTCTGACAAAAACATCTCAGAGTTTAATAGAAGAGTGCCTTAAAAGAAGCCCAGACCGCTCAAGACTGTTAGAAGTGTTTGTGAAAAGAATGAAATAGATTTTTTTTTAAACATGCAAGTACTTAATATTCATTTATTTTGATATAAGCAGAGTAGGTGTGCATATATTCTCCATTAGCGTTTGCCTTTAAACACTGTGTTACTATGGAAATGGGCATTTTCCCATCCACCAAGGACAATGTAACATCAAAACTGTTTGAACAGAGCTGCAGACTGGAGACGGCAAAATAGGGAGGAACAAATGAAGAGACAGAATATGCCGAGTAAAACTGATTTTTATCAGTTTTTCCTGTCTCTGAGACGCCGAGGTTAAAAATCCTGTTTATATGAAATAGAATATATCTGAATCTATAATTATATATACTGTATGTATGCAAATGAAATGCAGTTGAGATAAAAAATTTTAAGCCCACAACACATTTATTTATTTTGTGAATTCCTAAATTCTGTAAAAAAAAAAAAAAAATTAAAAAAAGGCACATTTGTTTTCTATTTAGTTGTATAAACCTGAGGGAAGATAAAAAGAATATGAAACAGGAAGCTTATCTAGTTTATTTCTCTGTAAGATTGACCATTTTCTATTCGTGTTGCATTCCATATACTCAGCTTTGTTTTTATTTTTTATTTTATTTTGGACTTGAATCCTCAGTGCGGCATCATTATTCTGTTATGTTGCGAACATCCTCTAACTGCAGGGGTTCCCAACCCTGGTCCTTGAGGAACACCATCCTGCATGTTTTAGTTGTTTTTCTGCTCTGACACACCTGATTTTAATTAATGGGTGATAAAACAGGCTTCTGCAGAACATGAAGTAATTAACTCACTGAATCAGGTGTGTTGGAGCAGGGAAACAACAAAAACATGTAAGATGGTGTTCCTCAAGGACCAGGGTTAGGAACCAGTATTTTGTGAGCTTGCTTTTTCAGCGGATATACCTCTGTACTTTTTCCAACAGTCAAAGATTTGCATTCTTCACAAATATTTTCTGTTTTGCATAAAGTATCAATTGTATTAATCAATAATTTCTATTTCTTGTATATTTTTAGTGAATTTTGGGGACCCCAAATCTTTTTCTTGACTTTCTACTGCTCCCTTTGTCTTCTGTCCTGATGTCTGGTCAGTCCAGTCTGGGCCGTCTGTTTTTTTTTTTTTTTTCTTTGCTGTCCCACTTGGTTAAGAGTCTCTCCAGCCAGCCATCCAATTGGCTCCCTGTTTCTGTAGGGAATGAAGCCATATTGATCCTGAGTGCTATCACGGCTAAATTGGTTGTAGTTTCCAGCCAGACTGCAGCTGCTAAGTGAGAACATTCAGACGCGCTGACCTCCATCCTCACAGGGGTAAAGGTGACTTTACAGCCTCACATCAGCCAAAGAGCTCCTCATCTGCAGGTGCTCTGAATGTATGCTTATTTTTTATGGAAATGCTGGTGCACATATTTTGACAATCAATTACACTGGCTGACATTTACAATAAAATCTTGTCAGACTTTTTTTTAAGCTTTGTTTTGTATATATACTTTTGTATTTAGCCTTTTTTTCTTCTAAGAGCACTGTTTGTGAAATGTTGAGGTATGTCCACTGCGTCTGTTTGGTCGCTTCTGTTGTCTTGGGTTGACGTCCTTTATGCTGAAAGATTTTTAAGAAAAAGTCAAATTGCTAATTAAAAACCAAATCCTCTTTGCTGACTTTTTGGTGTGTTTTTATTGCCAGCTGCTGAAAGAGATGACGTTTATGCTCGCGTGTGTTCGTTTGTCTTGGAACGTTACCAAAATGTGAACCACGGGATGGATTTTAATCAAACTCACAGAAAATAATTATTGGATGTACATCTTCAGCTGATAAACCTTTGGAGTCAATTTCATTTAAGATGTCTGCTGCAGCTAAGCAAACTTACAAACAAAATTGTCTGTAACTTGGCCACTTATTCAGAATGCAAGTTAAAAGTGGGCGTGGTAGCTGACCATTATCTCCAACAAAGAGTTCAAGCACCATGATCCATCCATTTACCTGCTTCTAACTTTCTGTGTGAAGGAGGATGCTGGTATCCTTTGACCAGCAGTCACTGTGCGAGAGGCAGGGGACACCCTGGACAGGTCTTCAGTCCATCACAGGGACACAGAGACAAATGAGACAACCCTTAACTCTCACTCTCACCTAGGGACAATTTAGAGTTACTAATCATCCTAACGCGCATGCTTTTGGTCTGTGGGAGGAAATCTTGGATCAGGATTGGATCCGACAACCTTTTCACTGAGGGGCACCAGCTTTAGCAATATGCTGCCATATTGCATATTTTTACCTAAAACTCTTCGTGAATGCATCATCCTAAAATAGTTAACAATGGAAGTTAACTACCATTCAAGCTAATAGACTGCACAAAAATGACAGTTGTACATATACACTGCCTGGCCAAAATAAAAGTTGCCACCTGGATTTATCTAAGCAAATGGGTATGAGCCTCCTAATGGATAATTACTGCATGGGTGATTATCTTTCAGCTGGCAACAAGTTATTTAACCCCAACTGCTGCAATGAGTTGCTTCTCATTGCTTAAACAACCATGTTGAAACACACGTCGCGTGGTCGTGGAAAGATGTCAGTCTGTTTGAGAAGGGTCAAATCATTGGCATCAAGCAGAGAAAACATCTAAGGTGATTGAAGAAACTACTAAAATTGGGTTAAGAACTGTCCAGCACATTATTAAAAACTGGAAGGATAGTGGGGACCCATCGTCTTCGAGGAAGAAATGCGGCCGGAAAAAAATCCTGAATGATCGTGATCGGCGATCACTTTAAATGTTTGGTGAAATCAAATTGAAGAAAAACAACAGTAGCACTCAGGGCTATGATTAATAATGAAAGTAAAAGCATTTCCACACGCACAATATGAAGGAAACTCAAGGGATTGGCACTGAACAGCTGTGTATCCTTAAGAAAACCACTAATCAGTGAGGCTAACTGGAAAAAAGGCTTCAATTTGCTAGGGAGCATAAAGATTGGACTCTGGAGCAACGGAAGAAGGTCATGTGGTCTGATTAGTCCAGATTTACCCTGTTCCAGAGTCAGAGTTTCTTTATTGTCATTTGCACCTCATGTGGTACATGTGGTGGAGCGAAATTATGTACACAAGGTCCCAGTTACATCCAACAATAAAATGTATAAGAAAAACAGTAATAACATCTAAGATATGAACTAAGAAAAACATCAACTAAATATACACTAAGCACTCATAACATAAAACATTGAACATCAGCACAAACATGAACATGAATGAGTCTGTGAGCAGATGTGCACACATGAACACATCAACATTGAAACAGATCAGCAGCAACATGAAACAGATCAGCAGCAACATTATATGGTTTTTCACAGTGATTATTCTAGTTAGAGATTCATGAGTCTAACAGCCTCAGGGTAGAAGCTGTTCCTCAGTCTAGTGGTTCTACACTTAATGCTCCTTAACCTCCTTCCTGAGGGGAGTGGGGCAAAAAGTGTGTGTGCTGGGTGAGTGGGGTCCTTCATGATGCAGGTGGCCCTCTTCCTGCATTTGGAGGTGTAGATGTCTGTGATGGTGGGGAGGCTGATTCCGACAGACTTCTGTGCAGCCTTCACCACTCTCTGCAAAGCTTTTCTTTCTGCAGCTGTGCAGCCTCCATGCCACACATTGATGCTCGAGCACAGGATGCTCTCCACTGCACACCTGTAGAAGGAGGTGAGGACTGAGCTTCCCAGACCAGCTCGCCTCAGCCGTCTGAGGAAGTAGAGTCTCTGATGAGCTTTCTTGATCAGGCTGGTGGTGTTGTTGCTCGGCGGTCCAACGAAATATTAATGTGTGACCTTTATTTTTGTTAGCGACTTTTTTTTGGCCAGGCAGTGTATTAAGCTAAATTTGGTGTGGTAGTAGCTGAGAGTCATCCTCAACAGCTTGTGTTAAATCACCTTGCGCAAGCTCACAATATCATTGTGCATAAAGTCATTTTCTAGGTAGTCAATAAATTTGCTTCACTTCCCGACATACATCGTCGTATGTCGGGAAGTGAAGCAAATTCAGTTTAAAAACTAAAAGCTGATGGGTGCAATGCGCTCCTTCAAGGAATTCTAGGCCTTGGATTTTTTTCCTTATTTTTATTGTCTTATTTTTCCAAGAAAAAAAGTGATCTCAGAGCTATGTGAGCCAGAGACCAAATGTCATCCAAGACGGTTTTGAAAAATTAAACAAAACAAATGAAACAAACGAACTGCTCCATCGGTTTCTGCTGTCGTGATAATGAAACCGTTCGTGCCTCCCAAACCCCAGTGGTGTTGACGGGCTGCTGCAGCTTTGGGGGACATTTGGTTGCATGACATTTAAAGACAAAGTAAAAGCTGCTGTAGGAAACTGGATTGGAGCCATTAGCAGGCCAGAGACTGATTGGACTGTACTTAAGAGCGCTGCTTCTCCAGTTGCTGTGGGTGGTTGAATACATTAGCATGTGCGACATGCCTGGAGCTAAAGACAGCCACGTCTGTCAGCACAGCTTGCATGTTGAAATGTGTGTGTGTGGGTGTGTGTTTGGGCTGTGGCTGGTGAAAGAAGGGGTTACGCTGACATGAACCGAGTCGTTTATAGCATGTTGTTGTGTTTATGTGGACTGTGTGGAACTGGTAGCACTGGCTTCAATTGACTGCTGCTGTCTGGCAGCAAGGTTGGCCTACTGTGCCGTGCTCTGTTTACACCCACATGCACAGCTGTGCACCAAACAATCCAATCTAGCCATAGGGTTAATTCACACACATACACACTGGAAACAAGACCATAAGTTCAGCCACAGCTATCTTCACTCCACCAAACATTAGAATTTTTTTTTTTTTTAACAGAGAAGACAAGGAGTGAAATCAATGAACAAGCTCCTCGTTCAGCAACAAACAACCCTCCATTACATCCAGACAGACACTTTTCTGTTGAGTGCTTCATCGATTGCCCACCATATGGTAATCTGTGGTTCTCATAGATTATTAAAATAATGAAAGGCTACAAGCAGTTGTTATGTCAGTGCTATTCGTTTGCTCGGTGAGTCAGAGACCCTGAAGATGGAGCGAGAGCCGGAACCTGAAAGAGGAGGACTATTTCTGTGTCCCCTGCAGCCACTGACACAGCGCGAGTGTTTACTGCTGTGCCACGCTGCCTCTCACAGTGGGAGCGGTTGAAGGATGACGACTGACATTACTGTGCCTCGAGCTCAAGGCAGGAACAGCACAAGGAGCGCTTATTTAACCATCAGGTCACCAGACTGACTGCAGCGTCACAGACAAAAGGAATAGTTGCCTCCTGGCCACTTTGTTAACCTGACAACTAGTTAAAATTAGATTTAAACAGGCCAATCAAAAGAATTTAGGTTTATCGAGTAAAACCAAGACTTATGTTAAAGACAGGTTCAGCATGCTGAGAGGAGAACAGTTGCTGCAGTCTGGCTGCTTTTACACAAGATGGCACTGTTAATACACGCGTCCTCAGCTGAGTCCATCCCTGACTTTGGCTCGTGGAGAACTTCCTTCAGGTCACTAATCTAAATACAGACACTCCTCATACTTTGGGGTTTTCACTCTCTTCCAACCCAGAATAGCATCCAAACAAACAAGGGATTATTTGAACTGGAAATAAGCAGCTGTAA